AAACATCTTCCATTTACCATACCTGGACTCCTTATTCTGAGTGTGAGGTAGTGACAATGGGAAAGTCAGGGGGCATGTTGGGAAACAGGAATACAAAAATACATATTGGCCAAACCATCTTCCCTCCCCTCTACCTCAGCTCTATTGTTATTATCTGTCATCAAGTTGACGTCAACTAATAGAGACCCCACGAATAAGAGACCTTCAAGTAAACCCATGTTCAGGGAAACTCTGGGCCCTTCCACACAGCCCTACTTCCCAGAATATCAAAGCAGGGAATCCCACATTATCTGAGTGTGGACTCAGATAACTCAGAGCCCATCCAGACATCCCCTTTTTTTGTGGAAACTTCCACAATACAAAGGAGGCTGTCCAGATGATGTTTTGGCAACCCACAATTAATTCACCACAAACCAGGAAAACGCTGGTTTGTGGCGAATTAATTACATAGTGGATTTATTCCGAGCCTTCTTTGAAGGCGTGGGATAAACCCACTACTTCCGGTGTCTGAACTGCAGACACTATTCTCACAGTTTTCCTGACTAAATTAGTCCGGAAAACTGGGAAACCCACCCCCCCCCAAGCCCCCAACCCCCTTTGAAAAATAAGGAAAAGTTACCCGGCCTCCATTACAATGTTGCCAGAGCTCACCCGGTGAGTAAAAATGGCACACCAGGAGCGCGTTGGGGGGGGGGGGGGGGGCTTTATATATATTCCCATAGGGACTCAGGGCAGATTCCAAACATAAAAGGCAAAAATTCAATGCCTGAATACAACAAGAATACATCCATACTAACAAAATTTATACAACCCAACATATAAATACGAATTATAATTTAACAAACTAAAATTAAATAAAAAGCACAGCCTGTTATAACAGACATAAGACAAAACATCAAATGGAAACAATAATTTCCCATTTCTTTGGGGCAAATTGATTAATCATTGTTTAACAGTACCCTCTAACACAGGGGTCCCCAAACTATGGCCTGCGGGCCACTTCCCGCCCACCAAGGGCACTTATCCGGCCTGCGGAGGAGGAGCGCCCCCCCCACACCACAGTGCCCCTCCCTTGGCTGGCTCACACGGCCCATCGGGCCCGATGGAGCGTGAGCCAGCCAAGGGCAGCTGCTCGCGTGGCCTACTCGCGCGTAAAGCACCTCGCGATGTGCTTTATGCGCGAGTAGGCCGCGCGGGGCTGCCCCTCCCTTGGCAGGCTCACGCTGCCCATCGGGCCCAATGAGCAGCGTGAGCCAGCCAAGGGAGGCTGCCCCGGCGCTCCATGCAGTCATGCCGGCCACATGACCTTGGAGGTGTCTACAGACAACGCCGGCTCTTCAACTTAGAAATGCAGATGAGCACCACACCCCAGAGTCAGACACGACTGGACTTCATGTCAGAGGAAAACCTTTAACTAGGAAAATTGTGGAAGATCCAGGGTGGGAGAAAGAACTCTTGTCTGTTGGAGGCAGGTATGAATGTTTCAATTGGCCACCTTGATTACCATTTCATAGCCTGACAGTTTTTAGGGAGAATCCTTTGTTGAGAGGTGATTAGCTGGCCCTGATTGTTTCTTGTCTGGAGTTCCCCTGTGTTTGAGTGTTGTTCTTTATTTACAGTTATAATTTTAGAGTTTTTTAAATACTGGTAGCCAGATTTTGTTCAGACTAGAAATTGGAAGATTTCCCATTCTCCGCTCCTGGAATTACTGCCTAAAGAGGGCTAGAAAGAACCCCCTCTAAGGGCTCTTCCACACAGCAAAATAAGATATGTGCAATGTGAATAGGGATTTTTTATTGATTTTTTTTTTTAAAAAAGTATAGTCTGGCCCTCCAACGGTCTGAGGGACAGTGAACTGGCCCCCAGTTTAAAAAGTATGAGGACCCCTGCTCTAACATTTCCCTTGTGTGACCAAGCAACATCATGAAGCAATGGAAATGGCAAAAGTTATTAATGTTGCAGTCCCCCTTGCACAATGGCTGCACTAACTGGGAAGGGTAAAACCTCTCCCCACCCCTACCCCAATTAAGTTCATTGAGTGTAAACATTCTCTGCATTTGAACTCAGTTTGCAGCAGCTGAAATAAACAAAGGAGGAGAGTGGGAGGGGAGAGAAAAACTGGCACTTTTTGAAACAACTGAAACATGGGATGACACTGGAATAATGATGATGATGATGATGATGATGTTATTTGTACCCCGCCACCATCTCCCCAAAGGGACTTGGGCAGCTAACAAAGCACTCAAGTTGCCACACATAAAACAGATTTACATATCATCAAAATAATACACAATTTGACTGAATACAAACAACGGACAACATCAATCAATAAAATTTAAAATTTTAAACATTCTAAAACACAGTCAAATTTGTGGGTCATTGGGTTTCTTCTAACACAAACTAAAGTGCCAAATAACAATGGTTAACATCATCACATGACCATAGTACATGATTCCAGGTCAAAGACCCATGTAAATAGCCATGTTTTTAGGCTCAGATAGAAGATTTGGAGATTTGGAGCTAATCTAATCTCTCTAGGGAGGGCATTCCAGGGCTGGGGAGCCACCACCAAGAAGGCTATCTCCTTCATCCCCACCATCCGCACCTGTGACAGTGGTGGGACCAAGGGAATGGCCTTCCCAGTAGGATCTCAAGGTCCACACTGGTTCATAGAAGGAGAAGCGGTCTTGAAAATAGGTTGGATCCGAAGTTTATAGGGCTTTATAGTGAGAGCTGGACCTTAGGGAAGGCTGAGCGAAGGAAGATCGATGCTTTTGAGCTGTGGTGCTGGAGGAAAGTGCTGAGAGTGCCTTGGACTGCGAGAAGATCCAACCAGTCCATCCTCCAGGAAATAAAGCCCGACTGCTCATTGGAGGGAAGGATACTAGAGACAAAGTTGAAGTACTTTGGCCACATCATGAGGAGACAGCAAAGCCAGAGAAGACAATTATGCTGGGGAAAGTGGAAGGTAAAAGGAAGAGGGGCCGACCAAGGGCAAGATGGATGGATGGCATCCTTGAAGTGACTGGACTGACCTTGAAGGAGCTGGGGGTGGTGACGGCCGACAGGGAGCTCTGGCGTGGGCTGGTCCATGAGGTCACGAAGAGTCGGAGACGACTGAACGAATGAACAACAATAGGTAATAACCTGTACTTTGAATTAGGATTAATTCCATGTCACAGTTGGATGGAATGCCTCCTACCCACCTCAAAAAACCTGGAATCAACACTGCTGTTGACTACAACAAGAACTGGACCTTGGATGAATATCTTATCTCCATTTCAAGGGCCACTGGAAAGAAAGCCACTTGCTTATACATAGATTGAAACTTATGGCTCATTTGAAGAATGTTTCTCAAATCATGAGTGGGCGAACTACTCAAGAATGAGCTCAGTGATCCCGAGCACAGAAATTCCTGATTTCTGAAAGAGCATTGTTTCCATGCATGGAGATTAAGGTCGCTCCCCCTACCCCATTCCTTTGTAAAAATGATTGAGGCCTTGATAAATCAGACAGTATAACATTGTTCTCAGAATTCTGACGATAGAGGGACCCCAGTCCAGGACTCTGGGTAGAATGACACATTACGCACGTAATTGTGGAAAGGAAAAAGAGGAGTTGACCCACTTCACAAGCAATAGAAGTTGAGAATGTTGTATTTGGGTGCAAAAGATCAAGACGGAAAGCTTTAAAATTACTTCTTAAGGAGTAGCTAGTCATGTAATTTGTTCAATTCCACAAGAAAGCTTATTACTACAGGTTGAGAATTGCTTATCCAGAATTTTTTAATCTATACACAAAATTGGGTTGTTGTAGGTTTTTCGGGCTATATGGCCATGTTCTAGAAGCATTCATAGAATCATAGAATCAAAGCGTTGGAAGAGACCTCATGGGCCATCCAGTCCAACCTTGTTCTGCCAAGAAGCAGGAATATTGCATTCAAATCACCCCTGACAGATGGCCATCCAGCCTCTGTTTAAAAGCTTCCAAAGAAGGAGCCTCCACCACACTCCGGGGCAGAGAGTTCCACTGCTGAACGGCTCTCACAGTCAGGAAGTTCTTCCTCATGTTCAGATGGAATCTTCTTTCTTGTAGTTTGAAGCCATTCTCTCCTGATGTTTCACCTGCATCTATGACAAGCATCCTTAGAGGTTGTGAGGTCTGTTGGAACTAAGAAAATGGGGTTTATATATCTTTAGAAGGTCCAGGATGGGACAAAGAACTCTATACAATAATTAAAATGAAGAACAATTTTAACTAATATAAATTTATTATTTCAGTGTGAAGTGTGGGCCTGCTTTTAGCTGGTGATGAGATAGGATTGCTGTTGTTGTTGTAATGCTTTCAAGTCGTTTCAGACTAAGGTTGCCTCTGAGCGAGGGCCACGTAAATGACCTCGGAAGGCCGTATCCGGGCCCCGGGCCTTAGTTTGGGGACCCCTGGTGTAGACCCATATAATTCAAAGCAGTTTTTGTTTCTTTTGGTTTTTTGTCATGTCAGGAGCAACTTGAGAAACTGCAAGTCACTTCTGGTGTGAGAGAATTGGCCATCTACAAGGATGTTGCCCAGGGGACGCCCGGATGATTTAATGTTTTTATCATCCTTGTGGGAGGCTTCTCTCATGTCTCTGCATGAGGAGCTGGAGTTGATAGAGGGAGCTCATCCGCCTCTGCCCAGATTCAAACCTGTGACCTGCCGGTCTTCAGTCCTGCCGGCACAGGGGCTTAACCCACTGCGCCACCGGAGTCTCCGTTCAAAGCAGTTAAATGCATTATATTGTTCCACACTGACCATATAATACAGTTCCAAGCTGCATTATCTGACAGTTTAGATCCAGCCTTTGTTATATAGAAATGGCTTCTTACAGCTCTGCTCTCTGGCAGTTCCAAAGAAGCAGCATTCAGGACTATCTTCAGGAGCAGGAAGCCTATGAACTTCAGCCTGCAGTGAGACCTCTAGTGTTTTTCTTCCTCTCCATCCTGGCAGAGTTCCTGCAAAGTACAAACACACACAGAGCTCCCATTGTTTGCAGCCCTTCACGAGCCCCACTGATCCTAATATGGAATTCGGCAGGAAACCCATGATTTCCTGACATACAGCAAGCTGAAGAAACTAAAAAGTTTGCATGAGAGGGGAGGAAAAAAGAAACCCAGAAGTGGAAAGGGTGGGAAAGAACACTCTCTTCCATTAAACCCTTCCAGCTTCTTCCTTTCTCTCTGTTTGGAAATGCAATGGAAAATAGGGTGGATTTAGCACGAATCCCTGATTTTTCAGGCCGACCCAGGGAAGGGCAGCAGGCTCTCTGTTGCTCGGGCTGCTGCTATTTTTAAGCCGTGCGAAATACCAAAGTCTCTGCATCCAAGATGAAGATTTCCTGACTCGAGCTCACAACACGCGTGTCAGTTTTCTATTTATTTCCCCCACATGTTTTTCTCTGGCTGGTATGGGGGAGACAGGCTGCAATTCAAAGTTATGATTTCATGAACATCCAGCGTCCAAAGACAACACAACTCCGTTCAGGGAGAAGCCGGCAACAGCCAGAATTGCACACCTTCTTGTGGATTTTCCCCCTCCTGCTGTGGTGCTCCATGTGTACTTGAAAACGAACAGAACAAGAAGAAAAGAGAAGCAACAAGGATGAGCAACAAGGCAGAAGCGCACAGCAACTCTGATGGCAACATGAAGAAGATGCTGAAGTGTGTTGTGGTCGGCGACGGAGCCGTTGGCAAAACCTGCCTGCTGATGAGTTACGCCAATGACGCTTTCCCAGAAGAATACGTGCCCACTGTGTTTGATCACTATGCAGGTAAGAACACTCTGCTTTCCAAATATGTCACTTTAAGTACTGCTGACTTATTCATCCAAAGTTTAGGAAAGTTGTTTTGAGGGACTCGAATTCCCAGAATCCTCTAAGCAAGATAATCCTCAATAGTGATGGCTGAGAAATCCTGGGATATGTAGTTTGAAAAGTATTAATTTCACATGTAAACATATACCAGAGTAAATTCATTAGGGCGTTGACCATACATTACACAGAATGAGAAAGATGGGTAAGGCGGGAGAAATCTAGGCTGTACGAATTGGCATAAAAGGTCAGATTTTTGCATCTTTATCCAAGCCAAAGGGCCTTTTTGAATTCAATGTTTATAGTGCTATAATTCCACTTTAATTGTCACATCCTATGGAATCTTGTGATTTGTAGTTTGGGAATGCACTAGAGCTCCCCATCTGAGGTTTTTAAATCCCTTGGTATATTATGAGGTTTGGTTCCAGAACTTCCTGTGGATACCGAATCTATGGAGGCTCAAGTCCAATTATATACACTATAGTTGTAGAATATCCCTTATATATGTATAATAGCAAAATCAAGATTTGCAGTCTGGAATGCGTGTGCATACATGTGTATGCATGTATGTGTGATCAAGGAGGATTGAAACCATGGGTGCAGAACCTGTGGATATGTAAGCCCAACTGTACCACTTCCTCAACTGATCCCAGAATGCTTGGGATGTTGCCATGGCAGTCAAAGAGGTATCAGAATGATATAATTAGGTGGTGTGTAAGAGCCTAGGTTGGAAAACACATTTTCCTCTCAAGGGTTCACATTATTTCATACTTTTCTGTTTTGTCTTTATGAAAGAGAATACTCAGGGACAGAATGCCATCTCCATGCTAGGGTCTAAATCCTGGAATAGACCTACTATTAGGACTTGGTATGTTAGCACTTGTGTGATTTCTCTTGATTCATTGAGTCTTCCCTAGTTGGCATTAATGAAGAGGACTCAGGCCATGATATTTTGGGAGGTCTGACTTGGCCACGGTGGTCCACGCTCTGGTTAGTCTATCCCAAATAGACTACTTCAATGCATTCTACATAGGGTTGCCTCTGAAGACTGCCCAGAAGCTTCAGCTAGTCCAACGCCCGGCAGCCAGGTTGCTCAAGGGAGCGGGGTACAGGGAGTGGACAACTCCCTTGTTACACCAGCTCCACTGGCTGCCTATTAGCATCTGAGCACAATTCAAAGTGCTGGTTTTAATGTATAAAGCCCTAAACTGTTCCGGCCCAGTTTACCTGTCCAAACATGTCTCCCCCTACGAACCATCAAGGACTCATCTGGGAAGGCCCTGCTCTCGGTCCCACCGCCATCACAGTCGCTTTCAGTGGTGACGAGAGACAGGGCTTTCTTCTGTGGTGGCCCCTTGGTTGTGGAATACCCTCCGTAAGGAAGTTAAATCTGCCCCCTCCCTCTTGACCTTCAGGAATTAAGTGTTTGCAGATTAGATTGATTTTACTGGCAATGATGAGTTTTTATTGGACCGCAGTTTGGATGAATTTCAATGATGTTTGAACCTGGCAAACGGTTTTAATATATATTGATATTTATTTTTTAGGCATTTGATTGTATTTTAGGATGTGTTTTATTATTTTGGCATTGAATTGTTGCCTGTTGGTAGCCATCCGGTGTCCCTCCTTGGATGTCGAGAAAGGATGGGGTATAAATGTTTCAAATAAATAAATATTCCCAGTATGAAAATCATGGTGTTGTCATGTCGCAGCTAAACCACAGGTTTTCCACTTCATTGACAATTAGAACTGTTTGCAGGTCGTCCACACATGTAGGACTCAAAGAAGAGGACAAAAATCTGCATGTGAAAATCTACTAGAATTGAAGACTAAATCCATGTCGTCACCATAATGGAGAAGACTTACAGACAGTCCCCAAGTTACGAACAAGATAGATTCTGTAGGTAACACCCCTGTGGTGTTTGTTTTGCTGTCTGTGCCCCTGTTTAGAAGATCTCACCTCCCTTTCTGTCCCTGTGATAATTGGATTTCGAAAAAAAATGGCTTGTTGTGGAGACAAGGATTGGGGATAAAGCTTCAGTGGAGGCACCTTTTCCCCATGATAACTCTTTCAGGTGTAAATTTCCTTTCCTAGGTGTAGATTTCTCTCACTTGTTGACTCATCCCCATTCTTAACTATAAGTTATTCGTAAGTTGGAAGTTTGTAACCTGGGGACTATCTGCACTGTGATTTGTATGTTTGCTGCTTTGGTGGTAGGTACTAACTGATAAAGGACAACCCCATGGTCAGTTGCTTTGTCTCATGCTTGTAGTTCTTCGTCTTTTGATGGTAACGCTTGGAAAAAAGGAGGGATAGCACTTCAGGTGACTCTGATGAACCTTAGTCATCTGAGAGCAATTCAACTAACATCCAGTGTTTCTCAACCCATGGCCCTCTAGATGTTTGGGAGTTCAGGTTCCATAATTCTTGAATATTGGCCATATTGTCTGGGGCCTTTGGGAAACCCAAAACATCTGAAGAAACACTGGCATCAGGCCCGTAGCCAGGATTGTGATTCGGGGGGGGGGGGGGGCTGAGTTTGTTTGGGGGGGGGGGCTGAGTCTGAGTGAAAGAGGGTCTACCCTAGCAAACCTTTTGTATCGTTACCCCAATACCCCCATGCATATGGGATATATTGAGCATGGTGATCAGATCATGATATGAATAAACATAACAGTTTAAATAATGTACCAGGAAGGCCTTCTTGCGGACCACCATGAGAATTTCGGGGGAAGGGCTGAAGCCCCTCAAGCCCCCCCCCCCCCCCCACCCCACCCCCCTCCAGCACACATGCCTGACTGGCATCATCCCCATAGGGAAGGACTTGGCACTACCCTACCTGAGGAAATATTGTGAAGTTTGTCTTGTTTCTGTATGCCAGTTATTGGCCAACATCCAATATGCAATGACATTTGCAAGCTTCAGTACACTTTATACCTATGTCTTGGTGACTAGCTGGCTTCCTCTCTCTTTTGGCTATTATGGAGGTTGGATTTATGGCTTCAGTAATCTTCCTGAATGGCCCATCACAGGTGGAGAACAGACAATGATCAGAGAAGCATCTGGCTATTCTCCATAGCCAGTAGTAGAGCAATGGCCTCATTGACTAAAGCCCCACTAGATACCCACAGAAGATGACATTGGTCTGCCTCTGGCTAGTGGGCATAGCCAACTAGTTTCTTTTACCCCCAACCACTCCATCAGACACAGATTGGTCATTTGGCAGGACAATTGCAGAAAAAGCATGAGTTCTGGGCAGTGGTGTCATTAGGGTTGGTATCACACAGTGTGGTAACTCATGATGTCACCCCCATGAACCTCCTCTTCTACCATGTCATATTACAGTGGCATTGCTAAAACACCAGAAAATTTAATGAAATCAGCAGCTATAACAATCTGCAGCAATGAAAGCACATGGTTGTAGGGCATACAGATGAAACCATGTGATTCAAATCATCATTACCAGCAAGTCATAATGATAGCTCTGTCCAGATAGCATGAGCATCAGAAGGTTAAAAAGGAAATGGGTATTTGGGGCAAGTTTGGTCCAGATCCATCATTGGTGGGATTCACATGACTCTCTGGATCTAAGTGGACTGTAGGTTGATCCCATCAACCTCTACCATTACTCCCCAGACACAGCCATTATTTTAAGTTGGAACACGATGAGTCTGTGTACCAAGTTTGTACCAAGTTTGGTCCAGATGTATCAAGCCTTGTAGGAGCCATCCCAGAGGACACATGTATATTTTCACTTTTATATAGATAGAGACAATACATTCCTGCTGAAAGACTGCACAAACATTTATAAGAACTATGAGGAGCAGCTTAAATTGCTAAGCATGTTTGGCCTGTAGAAGAGAAGACTGAGAGGAGGCATGATAGCCATGCATACATATGTGAGGGGAAGTCATAGGGAGGAGGGAGCAAGCTTGTTTTCTGCTGCCCTGGAGACAAGGACACAGAGCAATGGAAAGGAGATTTCACCTGAACATTAGGAAGAGCTTTCTGACTGTAAGAGTTGTTCAGCAGTGGAACTCTCCACCCTGAAGTATGGTGAAGGTTCCTTCTTTGGAGGCTTTTAAACAGAGATAGATGGCCATCTGTTGGGGGTGCTTTGAACATGATTGCCCTGCTTCTTGGCAGGGCGTTGGACTGGATGGCCCACGAGGTCTCTTCCAACTATATGATTCTATAGACAGTCATTGGGTGTCATCATTGGATGTAGTTCGTACCTCCCTGGTGGCACCACCGGTCCTGTATTTCCTGAATGGGGAACCATAGCAGAATTCTGTCAATGGCATTAATACATTTAGAAATGTGGGATTTGTATTCTTAGCGACATCCCTTTGTTTTAAAATAACAATAGCCACAGATGTGGTACCCCTTGCAATCTCATTTCCTATTCTCCTCCTTACTGTATCAAAAAAGAACAGTAATGGTCATATTTAAAATATATTTGCAGAATTCTTACAATACTTTTCAACTATTTTCAAAGTGATTTGTGATATAAAACATTAGAATTAGGCTGGGCTCCCCGGCTCATGTTTGGATGGCTCAGAAATAAGAGGAAATATAGATACTGATTTCGATCATTTCGCTTTTTAATAGAATCGGTTGAAATGTTTTTAATATCCTAAGCAGTCTAGTTTTTAATATCCTAAGCAGTCTCCAGTAAAGGATCACCGCCTTGTCGGGGCGCTGGAGCTTGAGCACCTCAATGATGTCATGAGCGAAACCGTGAAGGGCCACCCAAGACGGGACGGTTGTGGCAGAGCGGTCAGACCAAGCGTGATCCCTGGGGAAGGCAATGGCAAACCACTCCAGTATCCTTGCCAAGAAAACTAAATGGACCAGTACAACCAGAGATATGTCGGTATGCCATTGGAAGATGGGACTCCCAGGTCGGAAGATGGCCAAAATGCTACTGGGGAGGAGCAGAGGATAAGTTCAACTAGCC